CCTTATTCCTGGGGCTCTACTTTATAAATGATTATGGTACAACTTCCTGTCAGACACCAGAAGTAGCCGTAAGCATTGGTTAACTATGGTAGTGGAGCATGGACCACAGTTTATTTGATAGTAATTTGCATTCAGTTTAGCAGATAAAACACTGTTTTGTTTACATTTATTTAACAATCATAAAGTTTACTAAAATAGCTTTGCTGAGTTCAGGTACCTGTTGTGTTCGCGGCTGCACGAACAACCACACCAAACTAAATCAGTGACTACAACAACAGAGTTTTGAACACGGACCTGTTCCTGCGAAAAGCGCTATAGTTTAGTTTTCATCACCTACCTAAAGATGAGGAGTTAAGAAGAATATGGCTGAAAAATCTGAACTTGAAGAGACCACCCAAAACACTGTACATGTATGTGTGCTCATTTCACTTTGTTGACTAAAAATAAGACACCGGGTCCTCAAATTGAAAACAGTGTGACGAGAATATCAGGTATTGACCCACTTTGGCAAGGCTGCCTCAGAGGAGTTGATGGGGGAAAGGGCGGGCCCCGGAGGATATCTTATCACCAGCAAACTGGGTTTTTCCACTATGGGAGTGTGCTGTTTGTAGTGGGACTCAGTTTGTTGGTGGCTCCTCAAATTGAAGAAGTCCTTCAGATGAAGCATAAAACGTCTCAGCAAAAAAATAAACTGTCCAGATGACCTGACTGAACATTGTTGGATTATCATATGGATTAATGAGCATGAACTTTGGTAGATATCAGATATTATTTCAAGTGCATGAAGGACACAGCATTAAAGTATTTGTTTGTCTTCTGTATTATGATTTTCTCTGTAATTAACTCAAGCTCGGTGATGCGGGACTTTAAGGCTCTGGCTGGGCTCTTTGTCTGCTTTAAGGTAAATAAGATTGTGTCCCACCTCTTTTAACAAAATACGACCAACCTTATTACTGTGTAGATACTAATACGCCTCAGAGTTTTTCAGGTTGTTCATCACTTCGCCGTCAGAAGAACCGAGTCAATGAAATAGCTATGCTAGTAGATGTATCTGCGGCAACTTCTTTAGGCCGTCCTCCCATCCCTTGTCCGCAATAGACAGCCGTATGATTATATAGTCCTGTTTGAGCTCTGACAGGTGGTGTTCCTACTTGTTTAAATTAAATCCACAACGCTTGGAGAAACTACATTAGCTCATACTATTTGCACACAAATGCCGGTTCTTTTCCGCTCCAGTAGTTGTGCCCATAATTCAAGCAAGGCGCCATGGGGCATAGGAATAAGGCGGATACAATGTTGAACTACCACATCCCCAAACACACCTCAGTGAGTCTAGACCCCTCTGAGCACAGGTCCCACAAACATACTCTAGTGAGGGGTCCAAAGCCCACAGATACCCGAACAAGTCCAAATCCCTCTGACTCCAGACCATACAGACAGACTACACTGAATCCAAACTTCACCACACACAAGACCACATAAAGTCTTGATCCCACAAAGTCTAAGCCCCCACTGAGTCCTGACCCCTCTGAGTTTAGATCGCACAGGGAGCTTCAAAGAGTCTTGATACCACAGAGAAACACCCCAAAGACTGAACCTCACTGAGTCCAAACACTAATGAGTTCACCCCTGACTGAGAACCCCATTGTGGATCTTAGAAATGTGCTGGAGAAGATGTGCCTCTGCTGTTGATCTATTCAATAATCAATAAATGATCTTAGAAAAACAAAAGCATGCTGCAGCTTTTGATGGAACTGAGTGTTGAAAACCTGTGCAGCATTAAAACCAAACCACAGCAACTGTGTGCCATTATCCAAGGTACAGAGCTCAAACAACACTTAATGCAATGAGTGAGTGCTTAATGGCAGGGCATTGTGTGTGCATGTGCATGCTTTTGTGCATGTGTGTTTTTACATGTTTAACATGCAAACACAATCTGACAAGTTCTCTAAAAGTTAGTGATGATGACAGAATGAATTAATTTATCTGAAGCTTGGAATTCTCACACGTTTTTTAATGTAAAAAGATTAGAAAAAATTATATATTGAATGTGTGTGTGTGT